GCAGCAGGGCTCCTCGGGACCCCTCGGCAACCGTGGAGTCCTGGAGGGCCCCAAGCAGCTTGTGCGCCCATGGGTTACTTCTACCAGCATTCACTTTATTAGGAACTAAAACGGAAGTTTAAAAACCATTCCTGTAAAAATAACTGCACTATGCCTACTCTGTGTTAACACAAATAACAGAACCTTTTCTGAAAACAGCCCTCTGCTCCCCAGGAAACCACTCAGTGAGAAGAGCGGCGTTGTGTTCACTGTCCGCCAGTGTCTCCAACGTCCGGCCCTGCAGAGGACGGTCGGGGTCCCCCGTCACTTCTGTGTCCAGTCCGCGGCACCGTCGTTGGGTTCCGAGTGAGCGCGGAATGTGTGGGCTCACGCAGATTTGTCGCTGGAAAACGAAGCAGCATTCCAACAGTCAGCTTTTCAAGTAACTCTCGCTGGTCCTCCCTGAGGCGGCAAACCCTCTGCAAATGCTGGCTCCTTCGACCTTATCACTGCGACGTGGAACGAGAAATCGCGTCTGTTAGTTAAGGTCCGTTGGGCTACCTTGAGCTTCGAAAGGGCCTTCCACTCAGGCCTGATGTTAGAACATCCTGCCTCATCGGCCGATCGCAAAGTACTGGCCGTGTCCTGCGGACCTTCCACAGGCTGACACCTCCCGGCACAGGATGTCAACCGCCGTGTTAATCGGAAAGAGCACTGTCTTAACCAGGAAGACAAAGTATTGGGAAGCTTCAAGTTCATGCGGCAGCGACGAGTTTTTGAAACAATGTGTGCTCTACTCAAAAGCTCAGATTTTTCATTGAAAATGAATACTTCCAGTTGTTTACCTTGACCTGACAGGCCCCACTTTTTTTTTTAAATAAAAAGATGTCTGTCCGATCACCGAGTGGGAATACCCGAACTTTGTCTGTCAGCTGTTCTTTTACATCAAGCCACATCCGTGACCAAAGCAGCTGGTTCAGCTGGCACCTCAGTCCCGCGAGAGTCTGAATCAGGGCAGACCAGGTCCTTAGGAAGCAGCAGCAGAGGACGAGTCTGGTGTAGTCCCCACCCACCCGCCCCCCCATTTCACTGCTCTCAGTAGCGAGAGGGCAGCGCCAAGGGCTGGCGTTTAACAAGAGGAATACTTTTTATTGCCTCATCAAAGACAATCTGGAGTGACAGGGACTTTTGTGGCAGTGGGGATGACATCACCTGTGCTGATATCTTGGTGTCACCGCCCGGACCCACGCTCTGGGGCTGGCCCTCGCACCTGCCGTGGCTTTTGCCCTAATAGTGCCGATGTCAGCACGGTAAACTGGGCACGTGGCCGTCCCTGTGTGAACAGGGGGCTGGCGATGGCCGTGGGCCTCCCTGACCAGAGGGTTGCCCCGTCGCCCAGGACCGAGGACCACACTCCAGGGCCGCTGCCTCGAGACCCAGACTCGCACCTGACTCCTCGTCCACAGACTCAGATTACACTCTTAATTCTGTAGTAGATTCTTACCTCTGTTTTCCTGGGTTGCCTCTTTGTGCATTTCATCGTTTGAAAGTAAATTCAGACATAAATAGTCAAATCACTAACAAACACTTGAACATGATACACCACCTAGTCCTCACACCACATCTCTATGTCAGCTGTAATCTGTTCCGTTTTTACGCCGGGAGAAAAACGTCGCAGCTCCGCAAGGTTAGCCTGTCTGTCTCACGGCAAATAATCACGAGTCTGGAATTAAACCCAAGTCTGCCTGAGTAAACAGCGCATCTCTGTCCAAGGTGGCAGGTTGCCCAAGTCTGTCCAAACACATTGAAGATATTTTCACATATAAATACGAATACACACACTGGTTTTACCAATGGTGTGTTTTTTGGGGGGGAGTGGAAGACAGGTATGTTGATATAAGCAAATCCTGATGCTCAGGACTATTTTTAGGAACTTTCATAAAAACTCCCTTCCCGGACTTCTTCCAGGCCCCCTCCCCCCACATCTGGCCCATCACTGACTAAACGCACTGCGGTGTCTGTCCAGCTTCTTCCTCCCAATGAAATGCAAAGGGCCGTCTCAACCCTGGTTGACCAGTCACCCCACCAGCCTTGTGGGGTTCAGTGGGTAGAATCTGTGGCCCCCACTGTGCCCAGGAGGGAGCTGACCCTCCAAGGAAGACCCTCACTGACTTCTCCGCCATCCCCTCCCCATCTTATTTCACCTCAGCATCACACAGTGAAGACCTGGTGTCTCAGGTAGGAAAGGCAGAAGCGCACCTACTACACAGACGCTTCCCCTACAAGCCTCTCCTCCCTCTCAGGGCCAGACTGCTGGGTGAACGAGCTTCTGCACTGTGTCCCCAGGATGCCACCTCTCCACCTGCGATTATCTGGCTCCTTCACACACACACACACACACACACACACATGCACACTGTAAACCACAACTGCTTAGGTTAGGGGCACAGAGAGGTTGGTGGAGGAACAGTGGCTTCCCAGCCTGGTGGTCCCATTGCTCTGCCTCTTTGTACCCCGGCCCCCCATCCCCTGCAGCCCTGGCTCTACCAGCCCTGCTCTCCCCTGAGTCCCCTCCACAATCGCTGGTCCCCATCTCCCTTTCACCGCCTGTTCTTCTCCATCCACCCAGCCTGGGGTCAGGGACCTGGGTGCTTCTGCCAGGCCGCACCCTCCATTCTTCCCCCCGTGGCCCTCCAAGTGACGCGGGAACGTGGATGATCCTGATGGGCGCCTGTGGTTGGCTCTTCCCCTTCCTGCCACCTACACAGTGCTGCGCTCAGGGACCCCTCACCCCCACACTTCCAACTCAACAGATTTCAAACAGACCCCATTACATCCCGCCCCAAAATGCACCTGTGTTGTTTCCCGTGGCCAATGGCGCCGTCACCTGCCTTCTTGCCCCACCGGAAACCTGGGAGTCAGCCTAGCCGGCTCCTGGCCCCCCTTACCCACCACGGCCATCCAACAGGTGCTCCCCTCAGGGCGCCCTCAAGGTCGCTACAGCGCCCCCCAAGGGCACTGCCTCACTGCACACCCGAGTGTCTCCTCCCGGCTGGCTCTCTCTCTGCCTTTGTCCTCTGCAGCTGACAATAGACGTAGCTTTCTGGAACTCCTGTCTGATGACATTTAAAAACCTTAATGTCTGAGTTCTGGGGAGGGGTGGGGGCGGAGGGATCGAGCGTAAAGGAAAAAGGACTCATGGGCAACAGTGTGGTGATTGTGGGGGTGGGGCCGTGGAGTGGTATGTAAGGGGGATAAATGATAATGGAAACATAATAAAAATCAATTTTAAAAGGAAACCTTAGAATCTGTTCTTGTTTAAAGTACTCAACAGTTTCCCAACCACAGACCACGTTCGAGAAGGTTCTGGCTCTGCGGCCCGCGGAGCCTGGGGTTGCCTGGCTGGCTTCCTCCCGCTGCCTTCTCCCAGTCCCCAGGACGCAGCTCACTGGGACGAGTCCCTCGCTTTCCCTGGCTTCTGTCTGTGGAATGCCCTTTCCTCCCACCCTTATTTGCCTGGCCTCTCCCTCATCCTTCTGAGCACTGCACTCAAAACTCAGCATCCAGGGTGCCTTCGAAACACTGGCCGTGCCCCTCCCCACCTTCGCGTCTGCCTGGTGGGCAGACCCATTTGCCTCGGCTGTAACGCCCTGCTCCTTTCTGCCTCGTCTCCTCCACACCAGGCCTGGAGCTCCTCAGAGGCAGGCACTAACTATGTCTTACCCTGAAATCTCAGCACCCAGACAGACAAGGTACACAGCGGGCACTTAATGAATGCTAAAGAACACGCGACCGGCCTGCTCGGCCTGCTCTGGGTCATGTCTCCTAAGGGCTGGAGTCATCTCCCCAGATCTTCTGGGCTGACACCCAGAGGTCTCCTTTTCCAGTGTCATTGTCTCCTCTTGCAAAAAAATAGGTTTGCACGGTGATGTCAGCACCTCTTGCAGCAGCAAGAGTTCTGTGGCTTTTACATAAGGGTTTAGGGGAGCACTGATGTTTTACATAACGGTTTGAGGGAGCACCGGTGGTCTCCTATACCCACCTCCGGCCGAGTTCTCAAGGAGCGTCGAAGCTGCAGAAGCGTCACTTGGTGGTGGCCTGACCCGGGACAGAAAGGCCACAGGTTTTAACGTGACTTTGGCGAGGTGGGTTTTCATCTTATTTATTGTCGTTTCGCTGTGGTGATAGGAGGGGGCAAGTGTTTCTCATGCTGTTGATACTGACACTGTATCTTAATGAAGTATATGCCCTGAAAACTTAAAATCCGAGAGTCTGAAAGCCAGATTTGCTGAAAACTAGGTTTGCAGCCGTGAAAATGAGATCACTAAATCACTCCGTACTTTTTTCTTTGGTTTTCTAGTCCCAGGCCAGGTTGCTAATTAGGTGACTTCTTATCATAATTACCTAGTCAGCCTTAATGGCTTCACACCCTCTGCTTCCTCTCTCCCAGGCTCCGGAGGGCCCTTTTCGATCGTTAAACAGCTGCTGGGCCCCAGCCCGAGGAGGCTGGGCGCGCGGGCCGCAAGGTGGGCAGGCGGCCTGGGGACCGCGGGACCCGCAGGCACGGGTGAGCACCCTCTGCCTTCTGCCTCCGCCCTCGACCCCCTCCAGTTCGCTGATCTCCCACCCCTTCCCCAAAGCGACCCGAGTCCCCTTATTATGCTCCCGGGTCTCCCAGACGGGGTGACGGACTCATGTCCGTGTCGCCCTGGATTTTGCGACTTGGAGGGGGTCCCCATGGGCCTTCCTCCGCTTCCCCCGGTTCGTGGGAGGTAGGAACGCAATCGGCCCCAGAGACGCCGCTCGCGAGGGTCTGGGTTTGGGGAGCGCAGGGTGGCTGGGCGTGTGTGTGTGTGTGTGTCCGCGCGCGCGCACGTTGGCGCGCCGCGGGAGGGAGGGAGGGAAGGGGAGGGGCCCGGGGAGGCTGCGGGCAGAGGAGGGAGGGGCGGGCAGCGGCGGGTGGGGAGGGCTCCGGGCTTCAGCGGTGACACTCGGGAGCCAGCGCGCATTCCCCGCTCCGAGCCGCCAGAGAGCGGAGCGAGCTGAGCCCTGCGCCGCCGCCCGTGCGCCCTTTTCCCCGCGCCCGCCCGCTCGCTCGCCAGCCGCATCCTCCGCACCCTCTCCGCCCGAGGACCTCCCGCGGCCGCCGGCCCTCCGGCCCTGCTCCGGGCCCCGCGCCGCCCGCTCCACTTCGCGTAGCAACTTGGGCGGCCGCGCGCCGCAGCCTCGTCGCCTTTGAAGTTCGCAGCGCCGCCCGCAAAGTTGAGACGCCCCGGCAACTGCACTCTCCTGCCTGCTGCCGCCTCCGCCCGGTCCCCGCGGGTCCCGAACGCTGGGCTAAGCATCTGGCCGCCGCGGGACGTAGACGTTTGGCGCCAACACCGCGGGGACCAAGTTTCTTCTCCCCCAGGAGGAACTGGCATATTTTCTCCAGGTGAGTGGGGAGAGGAAAGCCACCCCCGGCGCTGGGCGCCTTCGCCCTCCCGGCACAAACGCGCGCGGGGGGCTGCCGCCCGCTGGGAGGGGTACGCGCGTCCCCTCACTCAGTCGCCGCAGGCGAGGGCTCCGGCCGCCCAGAGCTGCGGGCCCGAGGGGCGCAGGCGGGTCTCCGCAGCTGCCTCCTGGGGGGCGACGCGGGCGGGGTAGACGGGCGGGGTCCCGGGATCCGCTGAAGCCTGCGGGTGCCGGACAGAGCCCAGGCACTGGCTCGGCTCGCCCGCGGGAGGGCTGCGGCTCCCTGAGGCTCCGGCCCTCGGAGCGCCGTCTGCGGGCTGGCCGGGCCGGGCGAGGGCGGCAGGGTGGACGCGAGTTCTGGACGGCGCACCGGGCACTGGGACCTGCGGCGCCTCCACTCCGGCCTCTCTAGTCCTCCGCGCCGTGGGCGAGCGTCGAGAAAGTTCCAGGGATGAGCGGCTGGCTTGGGACGGGTCCCGCTTTGCCCGGAGAGCAGCGTAGCGGCGGGACGCAGCGATGGGAGTCGCGCCCCAGCTGGGACAGGGCTCGAGTCACGGTTCTCTCTGGTCGGCAAGCCTGCAGGACCGAGCGGCCCGGGCGCGCGTGAACCCCGACTAGCGGTTCGGGTGCCAGCTCTGCCCTCAGGCACATCCCGGCTCAGGGTGCGGTCTGCCTTCCTCTTGCGCCCTGGGCGCACCCTCCTTTCCGCGCCCGGAAAGCCGCAGCCCGGCTCCACGCTCTGGACTCCGCGGTCCCCGCGCCAGGCCGAGCTGACCTGCAGCTGGCTCACGGTCCTCCTCCTGGCCCCTTCTGGGTGCTGTCCATCTCCTGCTCTGGGTACCAGGAGCTCCCTGAAGCCGAGACCTTGAGGGGAAATGAGCCTGAACAAATGTCTCTGGGCTTGATTTTTTAAAAACTGAGTTCTTTGGATACACTTAGTTGGGTTGGTAAAATTTGTTTACTTATCTTTCCATCAGGATAAATCACAAAGAAGAATTTATTCATGTAGCTGCTGATCCGTCTAAACACCCTGCCCCCACCCCGTGTGTCCCCTCCTCCGCCTGGTTTCCGATTCCTTTCTCTTCCCAAGGGGGACTGTCCCACCTCCTCCTCGCGTCCCACCCCTCTCCTCCCACCGGCCCCGAGCGCCGGTGAGAACCCGGGCGTCGTCAATGGAAATCAATAGGACCCGCTCCCTTCTCCGCCCCCTGCGCTGGGGCCGGAGGCTCTGGGGCCGCGGATCGGAGAGCGCGGCCCTCCTCCCGAGGAGGGCTGTGAGGGCGTGAGGCGCTGAGTGTGTGATTGTCCCCAAAGACCCGAGGGACGGATGTCAGAGCAGAGAGGCGAGCAGAGCCCAGTGCGTTGAGGGAGATGAGCGTTATGATTCATTATTGTTCAGCACGGGGGGTAATAAGGCCCTAACCCTGGCCGACTGCGGCGATACTGGGTTTTGGCTTTATGCCCGTCTCTTATTACAGCGGTTTCAGAAAAGGGGAAACACCGAAAGGGTATTAATGGCTTACACTCATTCCGCATATGGGATAAATCAGATGTGGAAAAGGTGCTGTCATTTTATTAAAGTTTTAACCCATGAACTTTCAGAAGGTTACAGTGTTGTGAAATGTCCTCATTTGCCTCCATCTGGCTTCTTAAAGTTCGAAAAACTTGGCAACGTAATTAATTATGGTCCCAATTCCCATTTTCAATCTAAGCCCATATCCAGGATTATATTAAAATATCACACCACTCGTCCTTTAAAGGTGACTCGGATGAGTTGAGCTTCATGGGGATGGGTCAGCTGGGAATGGGAGGCTCACAAGTTGGAGGCATCGGCACTATTTCACATTCCTCTCAAAAGTCCTTTATTTCTTCCTTTAAAGAAAGACGTGGCAAGTGCTTGCTCTACACACTTCTTGACTTCAGGGGACGTCCGCAACCTGCGTCCCACACTGGGAACCCAGCAGTTTGCAGCTTTGTCTGCTGACTGTTTCCATCTTCACGTCAGGACGTTTTATTCCTTAAACCTGCACGCCGGCCTCGCAGGCTGCAGGCGGCCGAACACTCTGTTTGAATTAGCAACCATGGTAAAGAAGAAGCTGGAAGTCTGTTCCGGGCCCGAATGGCTGGGAGTGACGTTCGGTTTAGATTACGGCTTCATTTCAGCAGAGATGGGACGAGGCGCATAAAACATCTTTTAATCACTTGCAGATACAGCTTTTATCTCTTAAGATGTTACGAATACATAATTGAAAAATATCCGTCCCTGAAGGACGGCCGCCCCCACCGCCAGTTAGGGTGTCCTGTGTCTGGGGAACAGCCGTGCCGGAAAGACTCACTGACAGCAGCCAGAAAGATGCTGCCTCGACCTTGGCCACGGGCTGAGGACACGCTGCCTCTGGGGTGGCCGCCGTGGGTCAGCTTCCAGAAAACTGCATGGGGTGACTTTTTCAACTGGCTCTGTGAACCTGGCGTTTCAGATTCTCGGTTTCTCGCTCAGACTTACTGACCAGACTCTGAGTTTGGAGGGCAAAAAAACATGCTGTAAAACCAACAAGTTAGTTGAAAGGAAAGGGGGAGAGGTAGATATAAAGTGTATCTGTTGGTTGTCTTCCTGTGTTCTTTCCTGTAGTAGTTCTATTCAGCCAGAGTTCAGAATTTCTACTTTAGAACGGATTGTGTTTTTGTTGTCACGGTCGTGGAGACGGAGCTTCATTTCTCAGCTCGCCTGATGGTGGAGTCGGTATCGGACGGGGAATGATTATGCCTGAATAAGCAGACAGCACAGGATCGGTGCGCTGATGAAAATTGTGTCAAACCTTCCTCCTTCATTCTCCCAGCGATCAGGTGGTTGGGTCTGGGGGCTGGGAAGCACCCCCCCCACTTTTCTGCCCCCTGCCTGGCGGCCCGGCCCTGCTGCGGGGAGCTGGGCACCCAGGGCAGCGGCCCTCAGCCGGCCACCGGGCCACCTCTGTCCCAGAGGCGTCACCTGCAGAAAACCATTCGGATTAACCCTTTGACCTTGAAACAATATCGAGAAACCCTAAATATTTAGTTTGGAGTGATGATTCTGAAAAAGTGTAGTTTATCCCTTCCTGTTGGCTCACAATCATTTCGTAGAAGCAGCCGCTAAGCAAGTTATATTTGAACAGTAAATCCAAATCTTTGCTTTGAAACCGATTCCACAATTAAAGTCCTCCAAGATTTGCTCTGTTTAATACTAGCCTGTAAAGTGCCGCCTGAAGCTGGGCTGAATTCCGACTGTTTTCCCAGGATGATGTCACAAACGCAGGCTGACATGGGGAGGGGTCGGAGAAGCAGAGCCGCTAACACTTTGCTGCATTGCGCCGTGGTTATGTTGACTATACATTCGGTTTTACTCCTGGGGAAAGCACAGCGCTGCAGGGCGAACCTGTGTTCACCGGGCTGTGGGGGTGGGTCTGCGTGTCTCCTGCCACGGCTGAGCTGACCCCGCTTCTTTGCCGTTCTGTAGGCCGCCGGTGCCCAGAGAGGGCGTTTTCTTGGCTGCGTCCTCCCCAAACTTACTTCCTAACCCCCAAGACGCTGTCCCCACAACTCCACCCTTCTTGCTGGTGTTTTACTAACAACTGCAAACCAACAAATCCATGCATTCTAGTCCTTTGAAATAGTTTGAAAATATGAAATGTACCATATGAACTCACCCCAAATAACAGAAGTTTTGTTTGCATTGCATTTTACAAATCGAGAGTAAGGCGTCAGACCGGATGGGATAACAGAGAACTAGCGATACGTCTCTGCAGATTTCTCCCTTGGAGATGAAGAGACAGATTTGACCGGGGAACAGCTGGATCCCGGGTCCTGTTACGACGCCGGTTTGTTTTTAAAGAACTCACTGAGCTCGACTGGCTTTAGACCTCACTCTGAAGCCCGCAGACCTCCAGTTTGCCGGTGTGGAAACTTCCCCGGGGGACACGTCATCGTGCCCCCCATGATTTCCGGGTCCTTTGGGAACGCATTTATTTCAGTGAGTTGGTGAATAGTGTTTGGTTTTCATTTGTCAGTTTTTCCCTGCAGCCAATTTGAACGTGCACACTCTCAGTGCTTCATCTATTTCCCCGAAGTTTTTATTTTTAGTTTCACTTGTGAAAACTCTGACCCTTTCAAAACAAAAGCTGGCATGATGTGTACCCTTAACCTCCAAGATGTCTCTTTTAATTATTCTTTTCAAAGAATTAGCTGCCTTTTATGTAGTTATAAGGAAAAAACCCCAGTTTTTAGAAGCGATGGGCTTGCATAAAGTTTGGAAGGAACCGAGTAAAAACATGATTGGAAACCGAGCTATTCGAGCGGAGCTCCCAGCCCTGGCCTCCGTGGTGTGGTGTGGAACGCAGTCGCCAGTAACAGAAAGTGATGCTCCTGCGTCCGTCCGCTCGTGGGCACGGCTTCAGCCAGCATCACACACAGTGGCGGCTGAGCGGGAGAGGGCCACCGCGCGAGTTTCTGGCTGCTGGTGTTTTTCTCGTTCACATGCAGTCGGGGTCAGCAGCCTCTCCCTCCAGCTGTGTGCTCGGCCGGCTTCTGTCAGGCCTAAGGACAGGCACTGCATTCAAAAGGTGCCTTATCGCAACTAAAAACCCGTCCTAACTATATTCTGTTCTCCAAGACAACGTCCCAATAGACACAGATCCTGGAAAATATGAGACTGAAACTCATCAAATGAGTAGGAACAACTAACGTTGGAGAGATTTACAGAGGATGACACTTTCGAAATCACCGTGACTGTTGGCTGAGTTATACCACAGAGACTGCAAACAAGCGTGTGTGGGCAAAGGCAGCAGGTGCCACGTCTGGACAGCTGGCAGACAAATTGAGGGGCAGCCTCGTGGTCCCCACTTGAAAATATGATGTCAAAAGGGGCACGTCAGTGTCACAGGGCTTGGTTTCCTCGGGACTGCTTTCTCCCACTTAGTCACTGCGACGTCAGGGCCCCTGCCGTGCAGA